CAGCCAGAGAGGGCAGCTTCTCAGAACAGCAGGGTGGACATCCCCAGAACCCATGGATGCCAGGTCCCCAAACGCAAATGTCTCAACAAGTGACCAGCAAGGACACCAATGCCACCCTGGCCAAGGATCTCACAGGCTGGACCATGACTGGGAAATCAAGAACATCCCCGGTAGGTAAAATAACAAGGCCCAGCGAGCCTTCTGACTGGCCGCTCAGCTTCCCTCTGTGCTGCTGCAAAGGGCAAGAGCCTACCTCTCCGTGGCTGCGTAATATTCCACCACGTCTACAGACCACCCGCTGGTTCTTCATGGCTGCATAGTATTCCGCTGTGAGCACCAGCTGCATGCTGTCTCTTCATGGCTGCATAGTATTCCACCATGTCTGCAGACCATCACTGAGCCTTCATAGCTGCATAGTATTCTGCTGTGTCTTTCATGGCTGCATAGTATTCCGTCGTGTCTACAGATCACCCGCTGGCTTCTTTGTGGCTGCATAGTATTCCACTGTGTCTGCAGACCTTGCTGTCTCCTCGTGGTTGTACAGTATTCCATCATATCTGCGGGCCATCGCTGATTCTTCACAACTGCATAGTATTCCACTGTATCTGTAGACCGCATCCTGTCTTTTCATAGCTGCATAGTATTCCGCCATATCTGCAGACCACTGACTCTTCATGGCTGCATAGTATTCCTCTGTGTCTGCAGGCCACGTGCTGTCTCTTAGTGGCTGCATAATATTCTGCCGTGTCTGCAGACCACACATCCTTAACCTCTCCTCTGCGCTTGGCTCAGGCTGTAACCACAGCTCTGGGCGTTGAAGGCCTGAGACTGAATTATTCTATTAATAGTCACGTGTGGCTCGGCAGGCTTGTTTTTGTGCCCATGTCTCTGAAATGATTTCCCGGGAAGAGATGTGTGTGGGAAACCTCACTGTTGTGTTTCAGGCCAGCAACGGAATCCTGCATGTAAATCTTTAATGTTGAATCCTTAATGCAAAATAATCCATCTCCAGGTCAGCAGATGAAGCACTTTCCTCTGGCCGACACCTCGGGGCTTATGTCGCCCATAGAGACACACTGTTGGGGGGAAGGACGTCCTGAACAATCTCTACAGGTGGAGGTTTTGGGTACCACCCCACCCCAGACTTGGAACTACAAATCCCAGCCCCCCGAAAGGAGGTGCTGGGGCTGAGAGTGGAGTCAGCAGCCATATTAGATAGAAAACTGGGGGTGTGGGCTTGGGGACTCCTGGCCTCCCAACTCGTGGCTGGTCACTTGGCCTTTCCCCACTGTCAGCTTGCTACTGGGGTTCCAGGTCAGCGGAACTGATAGCAGTGGGCAGGAGGCCGTGGCCCCCCACTGGCGTCTCCCCGGGCGCACGGGTGCAGACGCTCAGGGCCGCATGGCTTAAAGAAAGGGAGTGTTCACCAAGGGGAAACGAGAGCATGAAGGGGGACCCCAGGCCGGTGGGAGGTCAGGAGGGCGGGGTGCAGCCCTGAGACTCACCCCTGCGCCCCGGGAGCCCCTCTGCTAAATCCGACGCCCACAATGATGCCATGTCAAATCACCCATCTCCTTTCTAAATGGGTGACGGTGATCGGGGGGGTGCTACTTTGAGTGTCGGGGAAGTGTCCACAAAACGGGGCCCAACTCGCCAAGCTGCCGGTTTCTCTGGCGGAGTCAGCGCAGCAGGCCGGCTAACGGTCCCCGAAACAGCGCAGCCTCCTCGGGACCCACCTCGGGAGGGCACAGGCGTCTGCCCCTCGCGCTTGCCAGCTCACCTGCCTGGTATTCAAGGGGCTCGGACCCGGTGGGCCATCAACTCAGGCTCTCTTAGCACCTCCTGACTTCATGGAATTGTTACAGGGCGGGAGAGGGGCACCCTGAACCCCCAAACCTGCCTGCTCTAAATCGCTCCCGCCATGTCCAGACAAAACACGTGAGACCTTCCCCGGGGAGGGGCTTGATTCGGCCAGTGTGAGACAGACAGGACGGGGAATAGTTTGCACATCAACCCGAAGTGACCCGCCCCCGGGGTCAAGTCCCCCCGAGAGGGACTGGCCCAGAGCAGGCCAGAGCCGCCCGTCCAAGGCCCCTTCGGGGGACCATGGGAAAGGGGCAGAAACAGCTGGACGTTCCGGAGGGAAGACCCACGGCAAGGTCAACACCACCACTGTCACCCCGGGCCCCCCACGACTGTGCCCCCCAGTCCAGGGCCACCCGGCTCTGTCCCTTGAGCCCCCCGGCCTCCCCCTGGCTCCAGGAGGCGCTAAGAGTTTTTGGTGCTCGAGGATGGACAGCAGCAGGCGCTCTCGTGGGGGCGGGGCCTCACCCGCGGGGGCGGGGCCTCACCCGCGGGGGCGGGGCCTCACCCGCGGGGCGGGGCCTCTCCAGAGGTGCTGTCCGGGTGACCCCCGTGCACATTACACGATGACACATAAATCAGCCCATCAAAGAGTCCATTATTTAAAAGAAATTAAGTCAATAAAAGTAGATTCTTGAGAGAGGACCGTGTGGCCGTGTGCGTCGGGGTCCGCAGCCCTCACGCCCCGCCCCAGAGCTCCCTTCCTGTTGCTGAGCTGCCCGCCCTGAACCCCACGCCTGGTTTGGGGGGCGGCGACCCAACGAGCGCCAGGACCACACAAAGCAGTGCGCACAAAAGCCCAGTCAGGCGAGCGGCGCTGGGATTTTCCAGTTGAAGCAGGGCCTGGACTCTGCCAGCCACAGCTGCTCAGGCAAGTGGACACACCTCCCTACCTGTGCCACTCAGGCCGTGATCGCCCGCTGGCCCCACTGGCCGCTGGCCGGGCTGCCCTGGCCCGGGACCTGTCCACTCAGGCCAGCCCGTCTGTGGGGTGATCACCCGCTGGCCCCGCTGCCCTGGCCCGTGACCTGTCCACTCAG